GTAGATGCCTGAAATATGGTATGTTGTTAATACAAGCTTACAAGTGTTTTCACACTTTGCTCTGCAACGTTAAACAAACAATTGACTTAATAAATATCCAGACCACAAGTATGCCGTTCATTTTGCGGTGGTGAGGTGCAGCCACGCAACTTGTTTCTTAATTCGTTTTACGCTTAAAAAATAATAATAATAAAAGATTATCCTACTCAACTGTTAGAAAAATCTCACTGGTCACCGGCTTGAGTTTCAATATCAGGATACATGGATTTATTATCCTTGCAAGAATGGAAGTAGTAATCTCAATAAAACGTGTAAGTATAAAATCCGATTGGCTTTCTGTTGAGGGGCCCGATGTTGTGAATGCATGCAGGCAGTAAAGTTATTTCAGTGTCTCTGTTGTGTAACAATGCTGAATGGACGAAGTGACTGAAATCACTGTAGTGTATAATCTTACCCTGCGTGACAATTTTTCCAAACACAGGCATGGTCTCCAGCGTGGAGCAGTTCCATCGCCGGTTTCTAAACTGGAACTGACACTCGTCGATCGCCAGCTGAGCTCCACGACGCACGGCATCCATCACCTCCACACTGCGCTTACAGATCTGCACCTAGAGGACAGACACAGACACGTCAGACACATTACATTACATTACATTTAGCTGACGCTTTTATCCAAAGCGACTTACAATAAGTACATTCGACCAGGAAGATACAATACAAGACACACAACACGCAGTACACATATATATATACACACATATGTATACTTTATCTAACCAGGTAAAAATCTCATTGAGATTCAAATCTGTTTTTCAAGAGCGACCTGGCCAAGAGGGCAGCATGAACGAAGTTGCAACAAATGAACAGGCAGACGAATACAGCGATCGTTAAACACAAATTAAATGCGCACATTAACCAGTCAATATGCAAATAAAAGAAACTATTATTTACGCCTAAATAGGAGATAGTTACTTCCCTTTTTTCTGTTTTGATTTCACCAATGCTTATCCAAACCCACGGGTGGTTACTTCCTTTTATATGTGTTATTATATCAGTGTCTTTAAACCCTAAAACCAGAGTTAGTGATGTTCAGAACAGTGGAAATAATATCAAGACAGAATTTCGGATTTATTCTGTTTCTGACATGACTGAAGGAAGGGTTTTCTGGGATGTTAAATACAAGTATCTGTCATGGGTTCTGGCTTTGAGGAGAGCATATGAAGCTTGTTTTCAAAGTCTTTTTTGTGATACTCTCTTATGAAGGAAGAGACTGCTCAACAAACGTTATAGCAAAGTAAACAGAAATTCCTACCTCGTGAATTGTTGGTTATTTTAAGCCAATGCAGAAGCACTAACAATGCTTTTGCTCACTGAAAGCTAATGTACTTGCAGGATTCTTGCTTGTTTTGAGGTTTGAATAATCATGGTTGAATGCAATCAATTAGATTAAAGCTAAACGAAATGTACTATACCTGTCTCTGGATGAGACCTCGTAACCTCTCGCACGTCTCCTCATCCCGGATGCTACCCACTGACGACAACTTGGCCAGGTACCTGACAGAAGGAAACACAATCAACAGAAGCTCTTAAATACATGGCGGTTGCAAAGAAGCGTTAGTTATTGTCACATTATAATGTTCCCCTTTAAACCTGAATTTAATAACATCATTCAGATGAACCGTGTTGGTTCCCATGACGTTGTGGGAATGTTTTGGATGAAATGTCTGCTTGTGAGGACACTGAGAGGAGGGAAAGTGTCTTATCACACACACCACCTCCAGGCCAGACAGGTCAGGGAGATACACACATACACACACACACACACACACACACACACACACACACACACCATCTGA